GGGGGAGGGGGTCCCTCAGCCCGGCCTGTGCCCTCTCGCAGTCTGGGACTCCTCAGGGGATGACCACCTGCTGGCTTAGGCACGCTCCCCAGGGGATTGGGCCTAAGATGGCAATCAGACATCCCTCTGGCAGCCCGGCAGCCCTCGGGGGATGTACACTTGCCAGCGGGGAGCAGGCCTAAACTGCAGTCAGACATCCTTAGCGCTGCTGAGGAGGCAGGAGAGGCTCCCACCACCACCGCTGTACTGGCAGCCGTCAGCCTGGCTTATAGCTGAGCAGAGCTCCTCCCATGTGAGAGCGCCCTGACCACGAGAGGGCAGCTTCGGCATTGAGCGTCTGCCCCCTGGTGGTCAGTGTGTGTCATTGTGATCAGTCATTCCCAGTCCTTCTGCTGTTAGGGTCAGTTTCCATATTACACATTTACTATATAGGATAGAGGCCTGGTGCATGGGTGTCCCGGATCAGGGTTGGGGTCCTGCTTGGGTGCCTGCCCAGCCTGGATGAGGGGATGATGGCTGTTTGCAGCTGGTCACACCCCCTTCAGGGTGGGGGTCCCCACTGGGGTGCCTGGCCAGCCTGGATGATAGGATGATGGCTGTTTGCAGCTGGTCACACACCTTTCAGGGTGGGGGTCCCCACTGGGGTGCCTGGCCAGTCTGGGTGAGGGGCTGAGGGCTGTTTTCAGGCTGGTGGGCGACTGAAGCTCCCAGCCTCTCCTTTTTTCTTTTTTCTTTTTTTTTTTTTTATTCTGGGATTAATTTACCTTCTATAGCTTCACTGGAGCTCAGAGCAGGCTCCAGCTCTGAGGCTGTTGCCGGCTGAAAGCAGGTACCTGGGTTTGTTTAGATTCTATAATTGAAACTCTGTTGCCATCCCTGGCTGCTCTAAGCTCTGAGGCCGAGCTGGCTGAAAGCAGGTTTCTGGGGTTTGTTTAGGTTCTATAATTGCAACATTGTTTCATCCGGAGCTCAGAGCTGAGCTGCAGCAGGCGGGGAACGTTTACTTCCTCCATCATTGGAGTAAGCAAGCCTCATGTTTATGTTCTCTTCAGCTGCCTGGGTGCCAGCCGCCATCTTGGCTGGCAGTTAATTTGCATATCGCCCTGATTAGCCAATGGGAAGGGTAGCGGAGGTATGGCTAATTACCATGTTTCTCTTTTATTAGATAGGATAGATAAGCATAGTAGCTGTGAATACTGTATTAAAATGGGTGCAACAGCAATGACATCAGTTTATTTTATGTTTTTCCCCCCACAAGTTTGTTATTCTAAGGAAATGCAGTATGTCATCAATACGAGTTTCATTGTGAAACATTTTACTGACCTTAATGACATCACAACTAATTAACCTGCCATATGGTGACACACTATCACACAGCAAAATTTGATAATCATAAATATAGGGGAAGTGTACACCTTTTGGTATGAGTGGTCTCCTTATTTTAAGAAAAGCTATACAGAGGCAGAAAAATGCCCTTACGCGGATGTTGCCAAATGGGTAAAACAGAGCTACTGTTTATTTTTAGTCTGAAAACAGTCATTCTCAGGGGATGCACAGGTAATACTTACCTGGCACCTCCTAAAATTCTGCATTCAGGATTTTGTCATTCCTTATGGCTTTGTACAGCCACGTGATTTTAGTGCGGTTTAACTTTGGAATATTCATCTGCGGCAAAAGTGAAAGGCCCCCAGTGCCTGATTCCTGGCTGCCAGTGCCTCTTTGTCACCTCTCCCTGGGGACCAGGCCTGGCCAGAATGCTTCCCTTTTTTGTACTCATTGTAAAAATCCATGAGATCACGAAATGTCTCTTTTGTCAAGATCAGTATATCTTGCCCTGGCTGATGTGGCTCAGTTGGAGCATTATCCTATATACCAGAAGGTGACAGGTTCGGTTCTCTGTCAGGACATATACCCAGTTGTGGGTTCAATTCTGGTTGGGGCGTGTGAGGGAGGCAACCCATCGATGTTTCTTTTCTTCTCTCTGTCGCTCTCTCTACCTCCTTCTCTTCCCTTCTCCTCCCTCCCTTCCTCCCTGCTTCCTGTCTCTCTCTAAAAAAGAATCAGTGTATCTTTTTTTAAAAAAAATATATTTTATTGATTTTCTACAGAGAGAAAGGGAGAGAGATAGAGAGCTAGAAACATCGATGAGAGAGAAACATCGATCAGCTGCCTCCTGCACATCTCCCTCTGGGGATGTGCCCGCAACCCAGGTACATGCCCTTGACCGGAATTGAACCCGGGACCCTTCAGTCCGTAAGCCAACGCTCTATCCACTGAGCCAAACCGGTCCTGGCAAGAATCAGTGTATCTTAAACAGTGTCTGGTACAATGTATGTGATGAGTGGATCCCTGTGGGCCTTGAACTTCTCCTATCAAGACAGATCTATGGAGTTTCCAGATCTTTTTCTGGTCTCCTAAAGTCACTGTCAACATCAGTTATAGCATCCATTTTTTTTTTTTTTTTAAATAAGAAAGTACCAGTAGATTGCTCTGTAGTGTTTCAGAAACACGTGTGTGTGTGTGTGTGTGTGTGTGTGTGTGTGTGTGTTGAGTGTGTGCGTTAAAGAGGTTCTGGGGAATTTTAAAAAAATCCTCTCCCATTTCACATGACTTTATTTCACAATATTTCTTTCCTTTTTCTTAGAAATGTGGAGCTGAGCCTCCTCTAAGACAATTTTTACCTTTAGAAAGTAGAACGCACCCCTGTGAAGCGCTCAGGCTGTGCTCGCACATGGTGAGGGGTGTGTTCTCCAGTTCTCACGATGAGGCTGGGGTTCAGCCAGAGACTTCCTTGCTTCCCCCCTCTTTTTGGTTTGGGAGGTGGGGTACACTGTGGGTAGACCGCAGGCCTCCTTCTGGGTTTTCCTTAAGACCAAGTTAGGACAGCTGTGGGGAAGGAAGAGCGAGTTTTGAGATTATTCAGAAACTGTGGCACCTGGTTGGAAAAGAAACATGTCATCCCTTCTTCCATCACAGCTGGGTGTTTATTGAAGATGCTCCGTGAGCCCCACTGCAGCTCTGGATATCTGTGACCCTTTGCGATCCATGTACTTAAATTTTTTTTATTGTCCTGGGAAATAGAACTGCAGTTTAGAACCCTAGGCTTAAAGAACTCATTGTTCGCCTGGCCACGATGGCTTAGTGGTTGAGTGTCGACCAGTGAAGCGGGAGGCCACAGTTCGATTCCCTGTCAGGGCACATGCCTGGGTTGCGGGCTCCATCCCCAGTGTGGGGCGTGCAAGAGGCAGCCGATCAATGATTCCCTCTCATCATTGATGTTTCTCTCTCTCTCTGAAGTCAATAAAAATATATTTAAAAAAAAAGAAGTCATTGTTTTTCAGGTCATGCTTGCAGGTACTAACATTTGGTTTTCCCCATCCCTGTCTCACCCTGGGATGTGGGTCAGGCTCCTGGAACTTGCCGGCTGGGTGGCCAGGGCAGCCACATTACCCCCTCTCAGCCAGGTTCTTCTCTGCCGTCCCTGGGGACGATCCCACCGACCTCTCAGATTTGTTGTGAGACTTAAGTAAGACCAGGTCTGAGGAGGAACATGAAGTTGTGAAATATATATAGTACCCTAAAGGCCATGCATTTCACCTCCTTCCCCCATGATGTGAGGTTTACACACTTGAAAAGTTAACCCTGCTTTTTGCTCTTGTAGCTCTTTTTCTTAACTGAGCCGGCAGAAAGCTTAGGAGCAAATTTGTTGGGCACTTTTAGCGAGGACTTCTGACGGTTTGTGCGATCGCCTCATTTCTCCATCTGTTTTCTGCCTCTGTCTTTGTTTAACCTTTGTTCTTCTTTCTAATGCATGCTCTCTGGCTATGTCTTATGTACCTTGATCTAAAAGCAGCTTGAAATTCTTTTTGGGACAAGTTCTGGGGTGAAGAACCGACCAAGCAAGTAAATACCTGTTGCACTCGTTGGCTTCCTTCTCCTTTGAGTTTTAGAGTTAGAGAGACAACCAAGCTGCTCCTCAGGAGGGCGGTTTGGACTTTGTCACTTTCTCTGCAATGGCGACCCAAGTGTCAGCGCTAACCTGTTTGAGAGACCACTTCTGGGGAACGGGGTGAATTTTGTCAGCCTCTTGACTGAAAAACAGCCTTCAATTCTTAGCTGATTCCATTTAGAATGAACATTTTTTTTTTTACAAGAAAAATGCAAGCAACCTTTATTTATATTGAAATAGGTAATTTATAATAAACTTTATTTCAAGTTTTTCCATATGATAATCAGGGAGTGTTTAACTAAAGGAAGTATTTTATCGCTTCAAGACAAGTTCTTGTACAAATTTATTTTTCATTACTATTAGAGTGGACTTTTTTGGGACGAAGTTCTGAGTCATATCCAGAAATGAGAACTAGAGACACGGCCCTATAGAATCGATGTTCATATTTTCAGTATTAATACTTTATTAAATTTTATTTTGTTTGCATTGTATATGACACTGAATGGTAAATTGCTTTTTAAGAGTGATTGCATTGTTGGAAAATCTGATTGGCTTAAAAATAATTCTCTTCATAGATAATTTTATTAGCTTACAACTATTCTCTAAATTGAAAGCCTTTTGCTACAAATGGATGCTCTGAAAACAAGGTTTAATTTATTGATACATCTATAGCAAGTTATTGGCTAATCTGAGACTTCAAACAATATTTTTGCCTCCTGATGAGTGCTAAGCTTATATCTCAGTGTAACTACTGCATTGGTTTTCTTTGTCTAAAGTTAACAAAGTTAAAATGAAATGATATACATATCATTATCAAGGTATTCCAGAGTTTTTGTACTTCTGCTGTTATCTGAATGGCATTATAAGAATTTCAGCAAAACCCACATAGTGTAAATTCACAGTTGTGATGTAGTTCTCATTTTGGCTATATGAATTGAATCTGTAGAGCTCACACGAGATTTTGGTAAAACATGTCCCCAGTGTTTCTATTGCTGTGCCGATGAATATGTTTGAGATGTAATTAAATAGAATTTATTTTATTTTTTTTCAGTTCTTTCGGGAGGTCCATTGCCTCAAGGGCATGAATTCGAACTGTACGAGGTTCGATTTCATTGGGGAAGAGAAAACCAGCGTGGTTCTGAGCACACAGTTAATTTCAAAGCTTTTCCCATGGAGGTAAGAATAACAGATCATCTCATAAAACTCATATTGTTCATGGAAAGTATTCAGTGATTTACTAAAAATGGTTCAATTTAAAAGTAGATGCATAGCTTTTGAATTTTTACCAATTTACATTAAAATTAAAAAGTGTGCAATGAAACGTAAGCTTGGGGCAGCAAATGAGGCTTCCCAGGGACTTCCATGGGCTTGGAGAGTGCACGTGGGCTGTTGGCCATAAACGTAATCTATTGAGTAAAGCCATTAAGTTTCATCCTATTATTATTACTGTTGTAAGAATTTTGCCGCCTCTGCAAATTCAGTAGGTCACTTTTGTAGATGCTCTGAATTGGTAATAAGCTGAAAATAAATAACTTTTGGAGAAACCTCAATAGTAACTAAAAGTCTAGCTTAGCTCTGATTAAAATTGGTAGGTTGGCTCTATTCACCACAAGCAATTAGAGAGAGAGATTTTTAGAAGGTCATTTTTTTTTTTTTTTAAAGAACTTCTTTCCTCATTATCTTTTTAGTCAATTCCTGTTCTTTTTCCAATATCTAGTTGACGTAGCAATTTCTTCCTTGGGACTTGAGTTCCTTCTCGAGGCAGAATTAATTTCTCCCTGATCTTTGCTCCTGGGGTGCTTGGCAGGTTGCTGCCGGGGCACTGATCTCTCATGGATTGTAAAACCTTTAGTATCTAAAGCAGAGGTTCTCAACCTGTGGGTCACGACCCCTTTGGGGTTGGAACGACCCTTTCACAGGGGTTGCCTAAGACCATTGGAAAATACATATATAATTACATACTGTTTTTGTGATTAATCACTGTGCTTTAATTATGTTCAATTTGTAACCATGAAAATACATCCTGCATATCAGATATTTACATTACGATTCATCACAGTAGCAAAATTACAGTGATGAAGTAGCAACGAAAATAATTTTATGGTTGGGGGTCACCACAACATGAGGAACTGTATTAAAGGGTCGCAGCATTAGGAAGGTTGAGAACCACTGACCTAAAGTGTCTTTCTCATTGACTGTGGGCTTCTGTTATGGACTAAATGCTTGTGTCTTCCCCAACACCCCAAATTCATATGTGGAAACTCTATCCCACCCCCGTGTTACGGTATTAGGAGGTGGGGCCTTGGGGAGGTGGTTAGGGTTAGGGGAGGTCATGAGGGTGGAGCCTTCATGATTGGAATTCATGTCCTTGTAAGAGTCCAGAGAGCTTGCTTCTCTACTCTCTGCCTGGTGAGGACAAGATTTGAAGACAGCTATCTACCAGCCAGACAGTGGGCCCTCACCCGGCATCAGATCTGCAGGCACCTTGATCTTGGACTTCCCAGCCTCCAGAACTGAGAAATCAACGTTTGTTGTTTAAGCCTCCAGTCCATGGTAATTTGTTACACAGGCTGAGCTAAGAAAGCTCCTGAAGAAAAAGTCTCCCCCCACCACCCCCTTTCTCCTCGAATCCTTTAGTCCAGTGCCAGGAACATCAGAGACAATCCAAGCTGGTGAAAGGGAGGAGATGTCTCGGTTGGTTCCGGCCTTGTTTATATTTCTTTTCTAAGGACCCGCAGTTCTGTCCAGGATGTAGCCCTTCAGTGTCAGGGAACAGTGTATTTTGGGGGATGCTGGAATGCAGGTCCTCCTTCTCTGTTGTTCCCAGCTGCATATCTGCTTAATCTTGTATAGCACTGCTCATGGTCAGATCCCGGCCCAGTTCCGCCTCAGTAACAAATCACTGCTGTATAATTTAATAATTTATTTATTTAAAAAATATTTTTATTGATTTCAGAGAAGAAGAGAGAGAGAGAGAGAGAGAGAGAGAGAGAGAGAGAGAGAGAGAGAGAGAGAGAAATGATGAGAGAGAATCATTGATTGATTGCCTCCTGCACATCCCTCATTGGGGATGGAGCCACAACCCGGGCATGTGCCCAGACCAGGAATCGAACTGTGACCTCCTGGTTCATAGGTTGATGCTAAACCACTATATAATTTATATAAGGATAATTATGCCTCAAGGGAAAAACTCACTGTAGTAAGTTGAAGAGAATATATGATATATACTCTTGTGATAGTGAGGACAGTAACAGCTTCTTGATGGCCTTGATGGGGAAGGTTGGGTCTTCAAATGTCACCTTTCCAGGAACTTTTTATTCTCAAAGCCCACAGACACCCTCTCACTTCTAACTGCCTTAAAACACTCCTGCCCTGTCTCTGTGGTACCTCTGGCTACTGCTCTGTCCTCACCCAGCGTGAGAAGGAAAAGTTCACACCAGATGCATCAAAGAGGAGGATGTGATATAATCCAAAACAACTAAACCTACAGGTGTGGAGGGCAGCGTGTGGGGGAGGAAAGACCGGGCCTCCAAGACCTACTCTAATAACAAAAACTTGAGGGAGAGCTGCGAGTAATCAGGTAGGCAGTGACTTCTGGCTGGGAATCCAGTGGCCTTGCTTGTGACACAGTCTTGGGAAAGTTTGATTAGATTAGGTGAGTCAGTGGTGTGTGCTCTTTGCTCTGCAGTTGAATAGAATTTCCGGACCAAATGTTTAGGCTGGTCCTGCTCCTGGGTGGTGGTGGTGTAGCTGCTCCGGTCCATTAACCACAGGTAATGGTTTGTTTGGAGTGAAAATGAAATTCTGCTAGTGAGGCTTTGTTTCTGCAGAAATATTTATATTTCACATCATGGGATTACTGACTGTAGTTTTTCCAAAATAGGTTATGAATAATATTTATATTCTTTGTCATCCCAGATTATTTATCTCTGACCCAATCTAAGAGAGAATACATGTACCAATCATTCAGTGTTTGTTTAGTGCTGCATCCTACTGCGGGCATGAATGCTGTGGGTATGCAGAATTAGAGGAGGGTATCTGCAAGCCAGGTAGGTTTTTGGCTTGTTTGTTTTTTTAAATATATTTTTATTGACTTCAGAGAGGAAGGGAGAGGGAGAGAGAGAGAGAAACATCAATGATGAAAGACTCATTGGTTAGCTGCCTCATGCATGCCCCACACTAGGGAGCGAGCCCAAAACCCGGCCATGTGCCCTGACTGGGAATCAAACCATGGCCTCCTGGTTCGTAGGTCAGTGCTCAATCGCTGAGCCACATTGGCTGGGCTGTTTTTTTTTTTTTTTTTAAATATATTTTTATTGATTTCAGAGAGGAAGGGAAAGGGAGAGAGAGATAAGAAACATCAATGATGAGAGAGAATCATTGATTGGTTGCCTCCTGCATGCCCCCTGGGGGGGATTAAGCCCTCAACCTGGGCATATGCCCCGACCAGGAATCGAACCGGTGACCTCCTGGTTCCTGGGTTGACGCTCAACTGCTGAGCTACCCCCGGCTGGGCTGGGCTGGGCTGTTTTGTTTTGTTTTATTTTAATGGAGCCTGTGAATACCAAGCTGGGCTTTAAGGAGGAGAGGGCTCACAGGATGTGCTGAAGGAGAGGAGAGAAGGACTCCACATAGAATTTCCAGGATGGAATGAGATGGCGTATGTGGAGACGGGTAGATAACTTCCTGAACTGCCATCGAGGGCTACAGGACAGCTGTTTGTGGGGACCAAGTACACTTTGGGGTACATGATTAAAAAAATTTAGGACACTTTTCATATTTTATTTACATTTTAGGACTAACTTTAATCTCTAAATCACATATCAAATCTATATTTCCTTTTTGTTGATTTCACTTAAACTTCAATGGATGGTTTATTAAATAAACACTATAAATAAATACTTACTACTTTATTACATGTAACAGGAATGGCTTTTAACAGAAATTCATCAACCTCCTTCTTGGCTTTTTAAAATTATAAATACAGATGTAAAAACAATCTTGAGTATATTTTGTTACTACTAGAAGCCAGCACCCACATAGCTTCAAAAAGTAACACAATTTGTGACATTAGACATTTAAACTCTGGCTCTTTCATTAAGCAAGATGGATAAAGAATGCCATTTTTGTTTTTCTTAAGATTTTTATTTTTTCAGAAACACATTTTTCTTGCCATGCTTTCATCGTGTGAACCTGACTTCTGTTGTGAATACTCAAGGTTTATGCTTAACAGCAGTGCCTTAATAAGGGAAAACATAGTGCAGCATTTTTCTTCCTGTTACCTGAAAATGTAATTTTACTTAATGTGTTGAGGTTTTGCATTATGAAATTTAATCAAGACAGCCACGAGAGTAGAATAGAATGTTGTTGGTTTAAGATAAGTTTGAGATCCCATCAAATTAATTTCTGTATGTTTTCCTGGTGGCTATGGAAGCTTCATATTTTCTTCAACATCATTAAATGTCTTTGCTTTTGAAATCCAACCATCAATACTATGTGAATATGCATTTAGCTCTTTTCCTAACATTGGTATGCTCTGTACATCCACCGTCTCACTAGAATTATTCCATTCTTACTGATATTTGCTACAAATCTAACTGATGGGAGAACTTCTAGGTATTTAGGTTCACATTCAACTTTCAGGCTATATATTCTGTTTTCATCATTTGCTTTTTCAAGGTAGCCAATTTCTGTGGTCTGTGTTACTCTTGCTAAATTGTGATTACTCTTTACACATGAGCAGCTACTTTCATACTTCTGTGGGACAGTACTTCCCACACATTTAGATTTTATGCTGGATTAGTAAATTTTTTTAATTTTTATTTTTCAATTATAGTTGACATTCAATGTTAGACATTTGTATAATTTATGAAGAACCCCCCCCCCCCCCCCCATAAGTCTAATACCCACCTGGCACCATACATGGTCATTACAATATTACTGACTACTTTGTAACTACTGATTGATAGTTTTGAATCACTTCACCTTTTTTACCCAGGCCCGGCTCAGTAAAATAAAAAAAATAAAATTAGTGGATTGGGAGATCACGGCCAAATTTTATTTTTCCAAATAAAACATTACTAATTTTCTGCTCTCCCCATCATTCTTTTAAGAGAGGATCTTTACTTTAATAGCTAAATGTAGGGAGGATATGGTCTGAGAATAATAAACATGGA